TTAACAAAGCATCACCACCACCCAAGAATGTGGAAGCCAGCCACCACCGCCGAACTTAGTCACCGGAATGTGTGCACTTCGACGGCCGATTGTACATGATCTGATCTCTCTTTGGCCAGATCCACTGTGATCTGTTGGAAATGGCGAAATTTGGCCGTAAAGTATGGCCATCGTCACGGGCAAATAGATCTGGTCCTGATCTAGCCGTTTCTAGTTAGATCCACAGCAGATTTTGGTCGTCAGCCACACCAAAATATGACCAACTTGGCTAGAAACGGCCAGATTGGTGCATGACTGGCCAGATCCGTGGTCTGCTTCGTAATGGGGTCGACGGTGATGGTGGTACGATGTGGCCAATAGGCTTGGTGGTGATGGGGATATTTTTGTTAATTTATAAAACTTTTATTGTGAAAGGTAATTGTTTTTAGTTGAATATATTGGAAAAAGATAGAATAGGATAATAAAAAACAAAGTCACTCACTTTTATTTTCAAAGAAAAATCCTATTGAATCTGTTTGATTAGAATAATTTTGAATGATGATCCCAATAATGAACAAACACTATCTGTTTATTAATCCAAATAATCGATAACAGAAAAGTGGTTCCAAATAAGAAATAAAAAAGAGGACAATTTCTTCTTTAAGCTTTCATAGGCATATAAGGTCTTGTATTCATTAGACGTTTCATAAACTAACAAATAATGTAATAGAACAATAAATCTTTGACCAAAAATGATGTTTTGTAAAGAATGGTTTAAGATTATGGCATATTTCACTTACATATTCGCCTAACAAATTCTCATCTGAAATGAATTGTTTTGAAAAGAAAAGAAATTAAATTGGCAAAGTTTTGATAAAGTTAAAGAGCTTATTTATAACCTCGGAGTTACAGCCAAACCATTCTTCTAGTTAAGTTGGTTGCTTAATAGGAGTGGTTAGAAAAAAAAAAAAGATAGCTCTTTAAATATACAACTGAGATTATTTTTCTCTATTGATAACAATGAAACTAAGACAAGCTGCACACAATTATTTTCCACATTTCAACCCACCAGGTCCTCCAAATAAGACATTATATCCTAATGGTTCACCATAGACCTCTATAATCAACAGCATAACAATCTGGTTTGTCTGCATACGTATCGATTTTATAATATTCAGCTCCCTGTAACGGTTCCATCCATCGACAACCATCAGGTCCCCGGCATAACTAGTTTTAGACTCTTGATTTGGCAAGAATTGGCCACTTCCCATTTCCAAACCAGTCTCATTTCCCGGATATAGGCGCTCCCCCCAAACAACGGATTTAGCATATCCTTCAAAAGGTTGAACAATTTGCAGGCCAATAACCCACCACGCTCCTTGATTTTGATACAGCCAACCACCCATTTTTGTCATTTATCTTTAAACACCATAAATCTAACGTATATTGGAAATCACCATGATTAGGTCCCGAACTTGATTAAGCGGAATGAGCCTACTTGAACGAATCCTGGGCAATAATTATTGTAGCAACCTGTTTGGCTGTTCGCATCTACTAGAATCAATTACAAATAATAATTAGAGCAATGTATACTTACAACTGACTCATACAAATAGTAAAAAACAAATGATAGAATAATATTTTACTAAATTTATGAATTTTGTTTGTTTGTATGACTCAATTAACAATCAGTTGTAAACAAAATTATTGATATAATTAACTCCCAACAAAAACAAAATTTGTGATTACATCGATGTAAACTTACAGTCCAAGATGTGTATAAACGAGTTTATTATCACGTATAAGTAGGATGAACCTGATATATATAAAAAAAAAAAAAACTCGAACTTAGAACATATATGATTATTAAGTTGGAATTAGAAAATAAATGAACATTGAAACTAGGAGAAAATACAGACCAACCATCAGCTTGTATCTATTATACTGATCTCCATTAAAGTTTTGTATCACATTGATGCTGCACTAAACCATTTACACTTGAAAGTTTTGGGTTATATATAGAAAACATTACTGATCCTCCATAAATTGGCTTCTTTGGATCTTCTCGTATGTGACATTCTGCAAACTGATTATTTATAAATATTAAAATGATTAATACAATAAAAAACAATACGAGATCATAATCTCTCTTGATATGATATTTTACTTAAGTAAATACTGATTCGTGATATATAGAAGGTTAATGAAAAAAAAAATATAGAAATAAATAATATTTCAAGATCCTTCAAAAAGCTTAGATAAGTTTATGTCAGGAGAGAATCCAATAAAATGTAAGAAAAATGTTAACAATATTTCAAACTTATGAAGCAAGTTATGTTATTGATCACAGAGTTACATGGATGTCGTTATCACTTGGATTAAGTATTTGCCTCAGTTGTTTTTGGCAAAGACCTAATCCTGATAAGATCTTCTTCTGAATCCTTGGAATGGGAACGGTTCCTCTTGGACAAGTTTCTTCTGGTTTGACCTCCATTAAGTTAGATGATGCTAATGGGGTTCCCGACCTCTCAATTCTTCAGGAAAAGCCTAGGCTCACTGTTGTATATAAAACGGTGTCTCAAATTACATGAAGCATATGGATTTCTACGAAAAAGATTGAATGTAAAACAAAAATACCTGTATGTATGGTTCTTGAGTGCAGGGTGATCTAACGAGGGTTGTTTATATATATCGACACATCAATAATATCACCATGTTCAGTCTGCATACGTAAAAACGTCGCAGATTCATGTTATATTAAGCTAAAGAAGATACAAAAAACTAATTATAATAATGGTGTTGCTTAAAGTTTAAAATCAGAGATAATACCTTGATAGTCTTTGAAGCAGGTTGTTTAGAAGCTTTAATTGTTTTTAGCTCTTCATCTTCTTCTGATCGGTTACTTGGTCCTGTCATGCAAAAAAATAAGATAATTAATAAAAGAAATTTATTAATTAAATTTGATTGGGTTTGTGCATTCTTACCTAACCTATAATCATTTGATTGATAATATACAGCTTGACATGAAGATGAAGATCCGTAAGCTAATTAAGCTGCCTACGCACACCTCTCCTTTAAACATGCAATCATATTTATTTAATTATTGTCTGCTTTATTTTTGTGTGTCGGGGAGCTTTTGTACTATTATCTTTTCATTTTTAAAATTAAGCTTTTAATTTTCTATCTATAATTTTAATATTAAAGTATAAAGATAAAGTTACTCGTCACTCTTTTAAGTGATTTATTAGGTTTACTTACCTTTAGATAACTCAAATGATAAAACGAGTATTGAGATGTGTGGTTAAGATATACAATCTCAAGTTTGAATACTTTTGAATCTCAAGAGTTAAGTGAGTGATCATGACGGTATGATGTCGTACTAATCATCTATATTATTAGTCGAGATATACACAAACTGATTTGGACCACTTGTTTTAAAAAAAAAAAAAGAGTTATTAGGTTTCTTCGAATCACCTTAAACCATAATAAAAAAATCAAATCAAATAAAAAATTAACATTTGATCATGTCACCATTTGAGTAAGTTCGTAGGATAGTAGAATAAAATTATCTTATAGTATAGTCTTCTAAACTTTACAATAAATAGATATTTTCTTTCTTTCTTTTTAAAATAGAGATAAAGTTGTAAAGACTCATTAAAATAAAAAATAAAATAAAAAAAAGATACAAAACCCCATTTATTCTCATAGTTTAACATTTAATTAAAATTAAAATTTTCATTTACTTATATAAGTTAACTTAAAAATTGAAGTCTACACTGATTTGCTTCTGGGTTTCATGTAAACGTCGTTTATCAAAACTATGTCTACTTAATTACAGAGATTCAAGCTAAATTGAATCCCAAACTTCTTTCACTAGCATTATGAAAATGTAACAATTTATAATACAAAGTTAACTATACTTCCTAAGAGGTCAATGTTATGAAAATCTAAAAAAGAGTGACTCAAATTTACACCACATAAAGGTTAGATATTGGATGAAATGATAAGGCAAATGATGATAATAATAATTGAGTATTATGAGAACAACCAAACCAGAAATGGGAACATCCTAATATGGGGACCCTCAAATTCTAATTACTCATAATCTTGCATAATTCAACCACATAATCTTCTTCTTAACCCTCTTTATCACAACAATCTTTAATCATCATCTCTCTAAATTAGGTGCCTTTTGACATGTGGCCACATTAATATTTCATTTCTTGGTTAATTTATGCTAATGTGAAGTAAAATTTAATTTAAAATTTTGGTTCTGCCATGATGCATACACTTGCATCATCTCTTTTGGCAACTTAATTTTTTTTATAAATACTTTTGCATAGTTTATAATTTAAGTTCTTGGGTTGATTCTGAATTTGACTATCAAACCTTCACAGACACTTCCATGGCCATGAGTGAGCTGGCCAGTCTCCTAAAAGTCATTTGAATGGCAACATCATAAAGCAAATTTGTGTTTTTGTTTCTAGGTCTACAAAACAAACTGTTTTTCTTATGTCAAAAGCAACCCATAGTTTGTAGAACTCAAAGTGAACAAGTAGGGTTAATTTTGGTGAGCAGGTTGTCTTCGGCCCTTAAATTTTGAGCCACTGAAAACATATGGATGGGCCTTAGCCATCAAATTTGATGCAAATTGTTTTTGGAATGGTGTCATTTAAATCCTGTTTAATGTGCTTATACAACAACAGAAGGCCCAAACCATGTTTCATAACTGTCAAGCAAGGAACCTTTGCGGGTAACCATTATTGGGTGGACGGGTGATCGAATATAAACTCTTAAGTATATTACTCAAGAGGTATTGAGTTCGATTTTTCTCAGGTTCTAATAAAGATAACTACTGGAGGTTTACCCGTTTAGGGCCTTGGGACATGTGCGCAAAAGAACCTTTACGGTAGAAAGAGGGTGATGGGAGCGTTGTTCAATATAGGGTATTATGAAATCTTGAGATTATTGAAAATGAACCAAGAATAATTTTATTAATAATGATATTTAAATTTAGACAATTAATTTCCACATTTCAAGCCACCAGGGCCTCCAAATAATACATTATATCCGATTTCTCCCGTTGTATTCCCTCTATAATCAACACCGTAACACGCAGGCTTGTCCGAATATGCGTCTATTGTAAATTTACTTGGATCCCTGTACAGATTGAACTCATCTATAACTTGCAGGCCTCCAGCAAAACAAGTATTCTCTTGATCATTTGATTTGAATTGGCCACTCCCCATTTCCAGAGCAGCCTCGTTTCCAGGACTATAGGCAAATCCTCCCCAAGCAATCCTTTGAGCATTATCCTTCAAAACGTCGAACAAATTTGATGGCCAATATCCCACCAGGATCCTATTTTTTGATATGGTTAACCACCAATTTTTAGTCTTTGGATCCTACATATCAATAATCATTTACACGTAATTAGATTAAATTCTAAGACAATAAAGACAATATTTTATGAAATATATGTATGTATCCCACCTTAAACACCAATAAATCTAGTGTACTTTGGAGATCACCATGAGTAGGTTGATTAAGAACTTGATTCAGAGGAACTGAACCAACTTGAATGAACCCTGGGCAGAGAGTATTGTAGCAACCTGTCTGGTCATCCCGATCTACCTGGAAATCATTTACAACACATGTTCAGACGACCCTTAAGTTAACATACGTAATTTGATGTATTGAAACTTACAGTCCATCGAGTGTATAGACGAGTGTTATTATCGCCGTATAGGTTAGGATTCACCTGAAATAGACAAGAAAAATCAAAACTTAGAACATGTATTATTGTTAAGTTAGGATTAAAATATAAATGACTAATAAAACAAGGAGAATATATATATACATACAATCCATCCAGCTCGAATACTATTATATTTATCTCCCTGAAAGTTTTGTATCCATATTGATACTCCACTGAAATCATATATTGTTGCAATTTTTGGGTTATATATAGAAAACATTGCTGATGCTCCATAAATATGATTGGTTGGGTCTTCTCGTATGTGACAATCTGCAAACTGATTGATTACAATAATTCTTAGAATGATAATGCAATATCAAATAAAATGATAAGAAAGATATTATTATTGCAGTTCATACTGTATATTAACTCACATGGGTTACATGGATGTCGTTATCACTTGGATTATAAGTATTTGCCTTAGTTGTTTTTGGCAAAGACCTAATCCTGATAAGATCTTCCTTCTGAATCCTTGGAATGGGAACGGTTCCTCTTGGACAAGTTAATCTTCTTGGTTTGACCTCCATTAAATTAGATGATGATAATGGGGTTCCGTGACCTCTCAATTCTTCAGGAAAAGCACTAGGCTCCATCTGTTGTTAATAAAACGGTGTCTCAAATTACTGAAGCATATAGATTTCTAATGAAAAAGATTGAATATTGTAAAACAAAATACCTGTATGGTATGGTTCTTGAGTGCAGGGTGATCTAACGAGGGTTGTTTATATATATCGACACAATCAATAATATCACCATGTTCAGTCTGCATACGGTAAAAACGTCGCAGATTCATGTTATATTAAGCTAAAGAAGGATACAAACTAATTATATATAATGGTGTTGCTTAAAGTTTAAAATCAGAGATAATACCTTGATAGTCTTTGAAGCAGGCTTGTTTAGAAGCTTTAATTGTTTTTCTAGCTCTTCATCTTCTTCTGATCCCGTTACTGCTGGTCTTCCTGCAACTTCAACACTGACAATCGACACAAAAATAATTAAAAACCATATAATCTTAAACATGTCCATGGTTCTGCTCTGACATGAGTATTATTCATTCAAATTGCTGAATTTATAATAATACCAGCTGACACCAAATTTAATTAGGTACCATACATAGTTTCTCTTAATTTAGAATGATATAATACGAATTTAATATTTTTCCGTCATATCATAAATGATCCTTCCTAAAGAATGACGTGAATTTAATACCGTCTCCATTTATAAAATCTTTGAAAATCAGAGGGATAGGTTATTTGAAAAAATATTATTCTGAAAACTGTGTGAATAGGATATGGTACATTAAATCAAATAAGATAGGATTCTGAGGATGTGTTTGATATAATATTTAAAAATTATATCAAAGTTGGATAAAAATTAGAATAGTTGTTTAGTACATTTTTTAAAAACATTTTCTGAAAATATTTAGATTATTTTTTAACCCCTACATTTATTAATTTAGTTAAATAGCTCTCACAATAAAAGTTTATAATTAACAAAGCATCACCACCCACCGAAGAATTGTTGGAAGCCAGCCACCACCGCCGAACTATAGTCACCGGAATGGTGCACTGTCGACTGGATTTGACCGATTGTATATTGATCTGGCCTCTTTTGGCCAGATCCACTGTGTATCTGGTTGGAAATGGCCGAAATCTGGCCGTAAAGTATGGCTATCGTCGATGGGCAAATAGATCTGGTCCTAGATCTAGCAGTTTCTAGTTAGATCCACAGCCAGATTTCTGGCTGTCAGCCACAACCAAAATATGACCAACTTGGCTAGAAACGGCCAGATTGGTGCATGACTGGCCAGATCCGAATGGTCATGCTTCGTAATGGCGTCGACGGTAGATGGTGGTAACGATGGTGGCCAATAATGGCTTGGATGGGTGGGGATATTTTTGTTAATTTATAAAACTTTTATTGTGAAAGGTAATTGTTTTTAGTTGAATATAATTGGAAAAATGATAGAATAGGATAATAAAAAACAAGTTGCACTCACTTTTTATTTTCAATAGAAAAATCCTATTTGAATCTTGTTTGATTCAGAATAATTTCCTGAATGATGATCCCAATAAGTGAACAAACACATATTCTGTTTATTAATCCAAATAACATCGATAACAGAAAAGTGGTTCCAAATAATGAAATAAAAAGAGGTACAATTTCTTCTTTAAGCTTTCATAGACATATAAGGTCTTGTATTCATTAGACGTTTCATAAACTAATAATAATTGTAATAGGAACAATAAATCTTTGACACAAAATGATGTTTTTCATAAAAAAGAATGGTGTTAAGATTAATGGCATATTTCACTTACAATATTCGCCTAACAAATTCTCATCTGAAATGAATTGTTGTTGAAAAGAAAAGAAATTAAATTGGCAAACTTTTGATAAAGTTAAAGAGCTTATTTATAACCTCTGGAATTACAGCCAACCACCATTCTTCTTGTTAAGTTGGTTGCTTTAATTAGGAGTGGTTCAGAAAGAAAAAAGATAGCTCTTAAAATATACAACTGAGATTATTTTTCTCTTATTGATAACAATGAAACTAAGACAAGCTGCACACAATTATTTTCCACATTTCAACCCACCAGGTCCTCCAAATAAGACATTATATCCTAATGGTTCACCTATAGACCCTCTATAATCAACAGCATAACAATCTGGTTTGTCTGCATACGTATCGATTTTATAATTATTCAGCTCCCTGTAACGGTTCCATCCATCGACAACCATCAGGTCCCCGGCATAACTAGTTTTAGACTCTTGATTTGGCAAGAATTGGCCACTTCCCATTTCCAAACCAGTCTCATTTCCAGGACTATAGGTAGCTCCCCCCCAAACAACGGATTTAGCATTATCCTTCAAAAGGTTGAACAGATTTGCAGGCCAATAACCCACCACGCTCCTTGATTTTGATACAGCCAACCACCAATTTTTAGTCATTGTATCTTTAAACACCACTAAATCTAACGTATATTGGAAATCACCATGATTAGGTTCCAGAACCTGATTAAGCGGAATCGAGCCTACTTGAACGAATCCTGGGCAATAATTATTGTAGCAACCTGTTTGGCTGTTCGCATCTACCTAGAAATCAATTACAACATACATAATTAGAGCAATGTTATACTTACAACTGACTCATACAAATAGATAAAAAACAAAGGATAGAATAATTATTTTACTTAAATTTATGCAAATTTTGTTTGTTTGTATGACTCAATTAAACAATTCAGTTGTAAACAAAATATTATTGATATAATTAACTCCAAACAAAACAAAATTTGTGATTACATCGATGTAAACTTACAGTCCAAGATGTGTATAAACGAGTTTTATTATCACCGTATAAGTTAGGATGAACCTGATATATATATGAAAAAAAAACTCGAACTTAGAACATATATGATTATTAAGTTGGAAATTAGAAAATAAATGAACATTGAAACTAGGAGAAAATACAGACCAACCATCCAGCTTGTATGCTATTATATTGATCTCCATTAAAGTTTTGTATCCACATTGATGCTGCACTAAAACCATTTACACTTGAAAGTTTTGGGTTATATATAGAAAACATTACTGATCCTCCATAAATTGGCTTCTTTGGATCTTCTCGTATGTGACATTCTGCAAACTGATTTATTATAAATATTAAAATGATTAATACAATAAAAAAACAATACGAGATCATAATCCTCTCTTGATATGATATTTTACTTGAGTAAATACTGATTCGTGATATATAGAAGGTTAATGAAAAAAAAATATATAGAATAAATAATATTTTTGCAAGATCCTTCAAAAAGCTTAGATAAGTTTATGTCAGGAGAGAATCCAATAAAATGCTAAGAAAAATGTTAACAATATTTCAAACTTATGAAGCAAGTTATGTTATTGACTCACATGAGTTACATGGATGTCGTTATCACTTGGATTATAAGTATTTGCCTCAGTTGTTTTTGGCAAAGACCTAATCCTGATAAGATCTTCCTTCTGAATCCTTGGAATGGGAACGGTTCCTCTTGGACAAGTTAGTCTTCTTGGTTTGACCTCCATTAAGTTAGATGATGCTAATGGGGTTCCCTGACCTCTCAATTCTTCAGGAAAAGCACTAGGCTCCATCTGTTGTTAATAAAACGGTGTCTCAAATTACATGAAGCATATGGATTTCTACTGAAAAAGATTGAATGTAAAACAAAATACCTGTATGGTATGGTTCTTGAGTGCAGGGTGATCTAACGAGGGTTGTTTATATATATCGACACAATCAATAATATCACCATGTTCAGTCTGCATACGGTAAAAACGTCGCAGATTCATGTTATATTAAGCTAAAGAAGGATACAAACTAATTATATATAATGGTGTTGCTTAAAGTTTAAAATCAGAGATAATACCTTGATAGTCTTTGAAGCAGGCTTGTTTAGAAGCTTTAATTGTTTTTCTAGCTCTTCATCTTCTTCTGATCCCGTTACTGCTGGTCTTCCTGCAACTTCAATCAATGAACAACGACACAAAAATAATTAAACACCATATATCTTAAAATGTCCATGTTTCTGCTCTGACGTGAGTATTATTCATTCAAATTGGAATTTATAATAATACCAGCTGACACCAAATTTAATTAGGTACCATACATAGTTTTCTTAATTTAGGATGATATAATACGATTTAATATTTTTCTGTATATCATATATAAATGTCCTTCCTAAAGAATGACGTGAATTTATACTGTCTCCATTTATAAATCTTTGAAAATGAGGGTTGTGGTAGGTTATTTGAAAAAATATATTCTGAAAACTGTTAATAGGTATGAGATATTAAATCAAAATAAGATGAATTTAAGGTACTTTGGTATAATATTTAAAAATTATATCAAAATAAAAAATAGAATAGTTGTTTTGTACATTTTGAAACATTTTCTGAAAAATTTAGATTTTTTAACTCTACATTGTTAAATTAGCTAAAACTCCACAATAAAAGTTTTTAATTAACAAAACATCACCACCACTAAGAACTGCCGGCAGTAAACCACCACACCGAATGGTAGTCACCGAATGGTACACTATCACTGATGGCCGATGTAATTGATCTGGCCCTTTGGCCAGATTCACTGTGATCTGGTTGGAAATGGCCGAAATTGGCCGAAAGTATGGCCGTCGTAACAAGCAAATAGATCGTCCTTGATCTAGCGTTTTGGCTAGATCCACAACAGATTTTGGCTGTCAGCCACGACCAAAATTGGCCAACTTGGCTATAAACAGCCAAATTGGTGCATGACCGGCTAGATTGCATGGTCGTGCTTCGTAATGGCATCGACGGGCACAGTGGCAGCGATAGTGGCCAGCAGTGGCTTGGGTGGTGAGGTGTTTTTTAATTTATAAAACTTTATTGTGAAAGGTAATTTTTTGTTGAATATAATTGGAAAATGATAGAATTGAATAAGAAATGATAGAATAGGATAATAAAAAACAAGTCCACTCACTTTTTTATTTCAATAGAAAAATCCTATTTGATTCAGAATAATATTTTGAATAATGATCCCAATAAGTAAACAAACACATATCTGTTTATAATCCAAATAAAATCGATAACAGAAAAGTGGTTCCAAATAATGAAATAAAAAGAGGCACAATTTCTTCTTTAAGCTTTCATAGACATATAAGCTTGTATTCGTTAGACGTTTCAAAACTAATAATAATTGTAATAGGAACAATAAATCGACACAAAATAACGTTTTTATAAAAAAGAATGGTGTTAAGATTAATGGCATATTTCACTTACAATATTCGCCTAACAAATTTTATCTGAAATGAATTGTTGTTGAAAAGAAAAGAAATTAATTGGCAAATTTTGATAAAGTAAAGAGCTTATTTATAACCTCGGAATTACAGCCAACCACCTTCTTCTGTTAAGTTGGTGCTTTAATTAGGAGTGGTTCAGAAAAAAAAAGATAGCTCTTAAAATATACAAAGAGATTATTTTTTCTCTATTGATAACAATGAAACTAAGACAAGCTGCACACAATTATTTTCCCCATTTCAACCCACCAGGTCCTCCAAATAAGACATTTATCCTAATGGTTCACCTATAGACCTCTATAATCAACAGCATAACAATTGGTTTGTCTGCATACGTATGATTTTATAAATTCAGCTCCCTGTAACGGTTCCATCATCGAAACCATCAGGTCCCGACTAACTAGTTTTAGACTCTTGATTGGCAAGAATTGGCCACTTCCATTTCCAAACCAGTCTCATTCCAGGATATAGGTAGCTCCCCCCCAAACAACGGATTTAGCATATCCTTCAAAAGGTTGAAAAAATTTGCAGGCCAATAACCCACCAGCTCCTTGATTTGATACAGCAACCACCAATTTTGTCATTTTATTTTAAACACCAATAAATCTAACGTATATTGGAGATCACCATGATTAGGTTCCAGAACTTGATTAAGCGGAATCGAGCTACTTGAACGAATCCTGGGCATAATTATTGTAGCAACCTGTTTGGCTGTTCGATCTACCTGGATCAGTTACAATATATATAATTAGAGCAATGTTATACTTACAACTGAGTACTACAAATAGATAAAAAACAAATGAAGAGTAACCATTTTACATAAATTTGTGCAAATTTTGTCTGTTTGTTGACTCAATTATACAACTCAGTGTGAGCAAAATATTATGATATAATTAACTCAAACAAAACAAAATTTGTGATTACATCGATGTAAACTTACAGTCCAAGAGTGTATAAACGAGTTTTTTATCACCATATAAGCTAGGATGAACTGATATACATAAAAAAAAAAAAACTGAACTTAGAAAATATATGATTATTAAGTTGGGAATAGAAAATAAATGAACATGAAACAGGAGAAATACAGACCAACCATCCAGCTGTATACTATTATACTGATCTCCATCAAAGTTTTGTATCCACATTGATGCTGCAATAAAACATTACACTTGAAAGTTTTGGGTTATATATAGAAAACATTACTGATCCTCCATAAATTGGCTTCTTGGATCTTCTGTATGTGACATTCTGCAAACTGATTTATTATAAATATTAGAATGATTATACATAAAAAAACAGTGCGAGTCATAATCCTCTCTTGATATGATATTACTTAAGTAAATACTGATTCGTATATATAGAAGGTTAATGAAAAAAAAAAAAAAAATAGAATAAATAATATTTTTACAAGATCCTTCAAAAAGCTTAGATAAGTTTATGTCAGGAGAGAATCCATCAATAAATGAAAGAAAATATAACAATATTTCAAACTATGAGCAAGTTATGTTTTTGACTTACATGAGTCACAGGCTTTGAATTATCATTATTTTATTTATTTTTGATAAAGACTTAATCCATAAGATGTTCCTTGAATCCTTGGAATGGGAACAGTTCCTCTTGGACAAGCCTTTCTCAGTTGTCTCCCTTAAATTAGTCGACGACAATGACGATAATGTGGTTTTCCCCCTCTAGTTCTTTAGGAAAAGGCTAGGCTTCATGTTGTTAATAAACAAATTACTGTAACATATCCGAATGTAGAATTATTTACGATGAATTTAACAAAATATATTACCTGTATTGTATGGTTCCTGAGTAAAGGATGATGTAACGAGGGTTGTTTATGTATATCGACAATCAATACATCACCATGTTTAGTCTGCATATGATAGAAATATCATCACAAATTCTGTTACATTAAGCTAAAGAAAAAGGAAAACTAATTATAATGTGTTGTTGCCTAACCTTGATAGTCTTTAAAGCAGGCTGGTTTAGAAGCTTTAATTGTTGTTCTAGCTCTTATCTTTCTATGGATATTGATGTTCTTCCATCGACATTGATAATCGACACAAGAATGACAAAAAACCATATTGTCTTAAGATAGCCAGTTTGTGCAGTAATGTGTTATTAGCTTCCAAAATTGTTGAATTTATAATAGGGTATTCACAACAAATTTGATTGAGAGCCATACTAGTTCTCTAAATTTAGATTATGACACGATTTAATATTCTTTTGATCTAAATAAATGATCTTGCCTTAACAAAATTCTAATTCTTGGGCAGGCTTCCATGGACATTAATCTCATTCTAATTAAGTTAAGTACGATTTCCCCCTGAGGTTTGCAAAGCAAATACTCACCAGACGTGGGCAGGCTTCCGGACATATACTCTCATTCTAATTGAGTTAAGTACGATTTCCTGAGGTTTGCAATAAGCAAATACTCCCCAGACAAATTTTAAAAACAATTAGGTCATGAATGTAATAGACGTACGCTAACTTTAACAGATGAAAGGACAACTTAGTATATAACTTTTTTAAAATTTATTAAAGAAATACTCTTTCTCATGTGCCATCCCTCCCAAGCTAATTTATCTCTCTTTACTCTCTTCTATCCATCTCTCTTTTATTTCTCCTTCCCCATAATTTTCAGACTCCATAGCCAAACCACCATCGTGTTACTGGTTGTGCTGGTGGCTAACGATGCGATACTGGTGGTGGTAAATGCGGTGAATGGGACAATGAAGATATTTCGGTCTATACTGCTAAACATATGTGCTAGAGTCAGACGGTATTAATGTAATTTTTTTTTTCGTGACTAGGGGTGTTCAGACTAGATTGCGCACACATTAACTAAATCTCTAAAGTCTTAAAGTTAACGATCGGATATAAACAATAATAACCATCAATATTAACAATCTAGGTGACTCGAATTCAGAATCTCTTGTATAATAGACCTAAGAATTCTTATTCAACCACTCAACCATCCAAGTGTGGTTGATTAATGTAATTTTCACTGACCAAGATCGCTTAATCAGTTATGAGAGGATCTCAATGATCCAAAACAAATTGTTGTTAAAAAAAAAAAAAAAAAACTGATAAATAAATTGTGATCATTCAAAATATTAGTGATCCATGTTGCAAGATTTGATAAACTTTGGTACAGTAAAAGAGGTTATAACAATGGTTGTTACAAATATTAGTAAAGGGTTGTCCGTAGTTGACACTTCCTCAAAAAAACATAACAATAACTTGAGATTTATAGATCAATTAACGGTGAAGTGAAGAGAGTTGGAGTAAATTATTTTCTACATTTCAAGCCACCAGGACCTCCAAACAATACATCAAATTCTAAAGCTGGACCAGTATAGCCTCTATACTCAACGCCATAACAATTTGGATTGCTTGTATAGGTTTCTACCTTATAAGGACTTGGATTCATATAATGATTTGTTTCATCTACAAATTGAAGTTTTGCAGCAAAACAAGTTTTAAGCTCTTGCTTTGATAAGAATAGCCCACTCCCCATTTCCACACCACCATCATCTTTTGGACTATAGGCTTGTCCTCCCCAAGCAATTCGGTGAGCTTCATCCTTCATAATGTTGAACAAACTTGCAGGCCAATAACCAATAGCTGTCTTTGATTCTGGTCTAGCGAACCACCAATTTTTAGTCTTTATATCCTACATCACTTGTGAATGTTAGCGTTTTTTAACAATCCTGACTTAATTAAACAAGTAAAATGCTCAAATTCACTAAAAGATTAAATTTTATTTTAGTCACCTTAAAAACCACAACATCAAGGACACTGCCTCCATGAGGATCATGAATAATAGGTAGTAGAACTTGACTGACGGGGTAGGGGCCAACTTGAACAAAACCAGGGCAGAGAATATTGTAGCAACCTGTTCTAGCTCGTCTACCACTATCAGCCTGCAACATTATATAAACAGCATATGTAATGTAATTAATTCCATAATGTAGTTATCCTATTAATTACTTTTTATTTAGTAGACGTATTCTTGATTTCTTAAAACTTACTGTCCAACGAGTGTATAAACGAGTTATACTATCTCCATATAACACCGGATCCACCTAATACACAAATCAAACTCAGACTTGGAGCATAAATTACAAGTCATATTATATAAGAACAAAGACAAATAATGTTGCCCTCAGGTAAAGTTTTTAACATGTAGACAAAAACTGAGTGACTGATTGTTAGATTTAATTTTTCATCTTATGAAGCTAACGAGTACTGGTTGCTTATCTTTGGTCTGCACATAAAAAACTTCATAATGTCTGTACCAGAGATTAACTATATGTATGTCGCGATGCTGATACGTACCGTCCATCCGACCTCAATACTATTATATTGTTCATCGTTAAAGTTTTGAACCCACAATGTTGTTGCACTGTACTCATCTTTAGATGTAAGTATTGGGTTGTATACAGAAAACAAAGCTGATCCTCCACTAAATGATTTGTTTGGGTGTGCTTGTATATTACAATCTGCAATCTGGTTTATACAATTATTAGAATGATTAATTAATATAATTGATCAGATAATATATATAATAACATTGGAACTTATGAACCCAACAGCATAGGTTACTCACCTGAGTCGAATTGTCGTCATTATTTGAGTTGAAATATGCTTCCTTTCTTTGTGACAAAGATTTAAGTCTTATAAGATCTTCCTTCTGAATCCTTGGAATTGGAACAGTTCCTCTTGGACAAGATGTGCCTCTCAGTTTCATCTTCATGAAGTTAGATGATGATAATGGAGTTCCTTGACGTTTCAACTCTTCAGGAAAAGAACTAGGCTCCATCTATTATTAAAGAAGTAGTGTATCAAAATATTACAACATATCCTCTTTTTCATGGACGTCGATGAACACTAAATTTTTTACAGTTTAAAAAGCCGATGCAGAGTCTTTAGAAGAAATTGACTATACCTGTATGGTATGATTCTTGAGCAAAGGATGATCGAATGCAGGTTGTTTGTATATATCGACACAATCAATAATATCACCATGTTCAGTCTGCATAACATAAAAACATCACAAATCCATATCATATTAAGCTAAAGAAAGAAAAATTAGAGATAATATACCTTGATAGTCTTCAAAGCAGGCTTATTTAAAGCCTTTAATTGCTGTTCTATCTCTTCATCTTCTTCTTCTTTAGATAACAATGTTCTTCCTTCAACTCCAGCACTTATAATTGACACCAAAACAATAGACAACCATATTCTTCTCCTTAACATAACCATGTTTTTTTACTTAGTAATAATCAATATTATGCATTCCCATTAGTCCATTTAAAGCCATAGTTCTTTTTAAATTATATGCCATGAATTTAATGTTCCTAACTAGTTCATAAATTCCTTTTCTTGAAAGAATAACATGACTTTAATGTTACGCTCCATTTATAGAACACACCCTATTTGTTGATTGGACAAATTAATGTGAGTTTCATTCCTTGTCATAATTAATTATTTTTTAGTTAATAATAGAGTAAATGACTTTTCCCACCCAAGGTTTTCCTTAATGACATTTTCCACCCAAAAAGTTTCAAAATACCACTTTCCCACTTAAAGTTTATATTCCGTTAATACCTAAAATACACTTCACTTTCTCAACCAGTTTTTGGCGAGTTACCATGAGTCAGGGTAAGAGGGGTTTATTAGAGTGGAGGTCGATGGATCGAATGGCCGTGACTGATTGAATATTCGCAGTCGAAATTAGTTGAAAATCTGTTAAGAACATGAAACGTTAGCTTTGCAGTGGTCGACAATTGATAAGAAATCAAGTGCCGCAATGAGAGAGGTTTTGTAGAGAGGCGACCAGAGGTTAAAATAGTGGTGACAAAAAGAATTTTCGTCGCCCAAATCAGCCGGAATTGACTTTGGCTATTAACATAAATAGAATATTAAGTTTGGATAAGAAAGTGGTATTTTGTAACTTTTTGATGGGACAGTATCATTAAGGCAAACCTTGGGTTGGAAAAAGTTGTTTACTCTGTATATTATTAGGTAATTGATTTTGAAGTCTAGACTCTATTGAACAAACTTAAAGGATTTACCCTTAAGTTTTTTTTAAGATTAGTATATGCATATGCACGTATATATTTAGAGAAAAAAAAATGACTATATGTATATTAAATATAATATTATTAGATAAATATAAAGACGATATAATAGATAAATGTCAATAAAAAATTACGAGAAAAAATCAAACTCGGTATAATGAGCTAGTGTCAACTACAATAATGGGCTGATCAAGTGATCCCAGTTCTTAAACTGGGCGTACTCTAAGCCCAATTCGACCCAATCATCTGCTCGATTTTTCTTTGGCGCTATCCTCGTAATTCAAATTTCAAATTCACAACGGTTAAACTCAAACAGCTGGATCCCACCAACAATTCCATTTCAAATTTCAAAAACTCACCTTAATTGGACAAACCGACAAACAACGGTTACATCCCACACTCCACTCTATAAAATTCCCCTTCAAATCTTCCACATTCTTAACTTTCTGCTTTATTTTACAGTCAAGGCGTCTTCGTATACGTCTTTGGCATCTCAAATCTCTTCAAAACTCTCAAATCTCAACGCAAAATCACTCCCAAAATCAACCCAAAATGAGAGAGTGCATCTCCGTCCACATCGGTCAAGCCGGTATCCAAGTTGGTAACGCCTGTTGGGAGCTCTACTGCCTTGAACATGGCATTCAGGTCAACTTTTTTTTTTTTTTTTCTCTCTCTCTCTCTTAATTTTCACATCTGATAACTACCTTTTTGACTTAACCATATGGGTGCTAACAAAGTTCTGGTATTTCTGTTATTGCAGCCTGATGGGCAAATGCCCGGTGACAAGACTGTTGGCGGCGGAGACGACGCTTTCAACACTTTTTTCAGCGAAACCGGAGCCGGAAAGCACGTGCCACGTGCCGTGTTTTTGGATCTGGAACCGACTGTGATCGATGAAGTCAGAACCGGGACTTACCGCCAGTTGTTTCACCCGGAACAGCTGATTAGTGGCAAAGAAGATGCTGCTAACAACTTTGCAAGAGGACATTACACAAGTAAGAAAAATAAAAAAGTGAACTCTGAATATATGGATTGATAAAGTTTGGATTTTCAATACTAATTTTTTAACTTTGTTATTGCAGTTGGGAAGGAGATTGTGGATCTGTGTCTTGATAGGATTAGGAAATTAGCTGATAACTGTACTGGGCTTCAAGGATTTCTTGTGTTCCATGCTGTTGGTGGTGGAACTGGATCTGGGCTTGGATCTTTGCTTCTTGAGAGGCTCTCTGTTGATTATGGCAAAAAATCAAAACTTGGGTTTACTGTTTATCCTTCTCCTCAGGTTTCAACTTCAGTTGTTGAGCCTTACAACAGCGTGTTGTCAACTCACTCTTTGCTAGAACACACTGATGTTGCTGTGTTGCTTGACAATGAAGCAATTTACGACATCTGTCGCCGCTCTCTTGACATTGAGAGACCCACTTACACTAACCTCAACAGGCTTGTTTCTCAGGTAAAGTTGTGATTTTTTTTTTTTTCCAATTTCTGAAATGGTTTTGAGTTATGGATTGTGTTTGGTTTGGTTGATGAGAGACTTTTGTGTATTTCTTTGCAGGTTATCTCTTCTCTAACAGCCTCTCTTCGTTTCGATGGAGCTTTGAATGTGGATGTGACTGAGTTTCAAACAAATTTAGTCCCATACCCCAGGATTCACTTCATGCTTTCTTCATATGCGCCTGTGATTTCAGCAGAAAAGGCCTACCACGAGCAACTCTCTGTGGCTGAAATCACCAACAGCGCCTTTGAGCCTTCATCTATGATGGCTAAATGCGATCCACGCCATGGGAAATACATGGCATGTTGTTTGATGTACAGAGGAGATGTAGTCCCCAAAGATGTGAATGCAGCTGTGGCCACAATCAAGACCAAGAGGACCATTCAATTCGTTGACTGGTGCCCAACTGGTTTCAAATGTGGAATCAACTACCAGCCTCCGACGGTGGTTCCTGGAGGGGACTTGGCCAAGGTTCAGAGGGCAGTGTGCATGATTTCAAACTCAACAAGTGTGGCTGAAGTGTTCTCGAGAATTGATCACAAGTTTGATTTGATGTATGCAAAGAGGGCATTTGTGCACTGGTATGTGGGTGAGGGAATGGAAGAGGGAGAGTTTTCTGAGGCTAGAGAGGATTTGGCTGCACTTGAGAAGGATTATGAGGAAGTTGGGGCAGAGTCTGCTGAGGGAGAAGATGATGAAGGAGATGAGTACTAGGCAGGCCGAAATAATGAATGTTGTAGGAATTGGTTGTTCCTTTCTTCTGCCAATGGACTCATTGGTCTTCAATCAAATTAGTAGTTAGAATTAATATGTTTTTCCTTCCTTTAGTTTGTTCAATGAAATTTCCATATTTTCTGGTATTAACATCTGCCATTGTTCGTTTCTATTTGAATGCTCCTCATAAGATCAAATGAAAAATAGAAGAAGATTATTATGGAAATTTCATCATCCTTGTATTTACTTGTTTTCTGTACACATACAAGACTCCTGTTTCTTCTCTCCCTCTCTCACTTTAACTCCTAAAAACACCAAGAAAACTACAAAATTCAAAGGAAGAAAGAAAACTACAAAATTCAAAGGAAGAAAACAAAAAGAAGAAAAAGCTTTCACTAGCTCTCTTAAGTTCTTAACTATTTTCGAGCTCTGCCCATTCGAAAACCCCTCAACCTCAACCGGCTCCTGTTAAACAAAATAATAATTTTTAATTAACTCAAAAATCAGATAATTGTTTCGGGTCAAAAATTAAATACAGTGTCAGCTCTACCCGGCCCAAATCCGACTTATAAACAAGTAAAAAAATATACTTCAGCGGGAACCGGTCAACCGCTTTGAAATTTTTTCTCCGTTTCTCGAGAAACAAACAGACGATAAGTCTTAATCAGAATTTAAAAACCTAAAGGAGTTTAAAACTGAAGATTCCAAAATCAGAGCAGGAGAAAATTATATATTCTTTATCTTTTGTAAATTTTCTCTGCCAAACAGCAAACAAGAAAAACATAAAACGAGCTGAAAGCAACAGTCACGGAGGATAAATCTGCTGGACATCATTAATAATTTAAAATCTAAACGAGTTTAAAACTGAAGACTCTTAAAATCAGAAAAAAAAAAAAAAAAACAAAAAAAAGAGGAAGATTATTTTCTTTCTCTTTCGTCAATTGTCTCAGCCATCGAACACAAAAGAGAACAAGGAAACAAACAAACCTTTACGAATCAGTATTTAGTTTCAGTGCGAGGCGGCTCTGACACCAGTTGTTCTCTCAGTCTTGCCGCTAAGAGGTGAGCAAGGCAAGATCGTTGTTGTCGGTCGAGAAAAAACGACAAATTTTACTTGTCGTTCATGGAAACAACTGTCAATCTTTTTACGATCTTTAATATTCGTGTTTAAACAACAACCTTCGCCATCAATATCTTCTCTAAGCAACAACTCCTCTTCCTTAACTCTCAATACCTGATTATGCACGTATCGCCGGAACATCGCCACCGATCGCGGCGACTCTTCCACGTCTTCAGTCGACGATCCGCCACTCTCCTGCTCCACATCCGTCGCCTCAGTCCTCACCGGAAACACCGCCTTCATCGAAACCGGTAAGTCCAGATCGATCTTGTTCTCTGCTTTCACAGTCATTGTTTTCTTTATTATTTATTTTTATTAATCAACTTATTGATCGAATGCGGAAGATTTTTCCATTTCGGTGTTGTTTATATACGGGGAACAAGAGGAGAGAGATGATTAAAACGGTGCGCCTTGGAAGTTAGTTACGTGGTGGAGAAGGGTGTTCGGATAATTGACACGTGCACAGATGTTGACTACTGAAACATGTGGTGATTAACACTCAGCCAGGAAACCGTTGCCGTTTGGTTAGCAACAAGTCTTGGATACCCTAATATGGTGCCACATCAGCTGGTCCACAGTGCCAGATCAGTTCAGTTGAATTGATTCACAAATCCGATAAATAAACAAATTATGCAAAATTAAATCTGATTTACGTTGTAGTGTAAATAGATTATTGGTGGCCACGTCACATCAAATATGTTATAGAATTCGTTTGTGGAGTCCACCTGGAAGGGAGGATAGCTATGCGGCCATTTGGGTGGGTTTGGATGGAAATTGTGGGACACGGGTCGAAAATCGGTAGGGAGAGGGTAAAGTTATTCAAGTGAATGTTTTTTGCTGTTCAAAAACGGAAAGAGCCGTTTTAGTTTGAAGGTGGAACTAAACAGGTGGTGAACTATGATTGGTGATGCTTTTAACGTGATAAAGGTGAAGTGATTTTGATCTGGAATGCATGCGGTCAAACTGAAACAATGGTAACGCTGGTTTTGCCACGAGGCAGGCTTACGTCATTCAGAAATTTTAAGTTCTAGGACAAAATTATTAGAAAATAATGGAATAATAAAGTTGCCAAATCATCACAACCTCCATTCATATAAAATCCGACATTCAAGTTGGTTACGGCTCTCATGTTTGTCATCGAGCTTGATTTTCCTTTTCTAAAATCTGTAATTTAATACGATACAAAAATTTTAACTATAAAGTATCTGTGGATGGTTTAGATGGTATTTTAAGTTCAATTTTTCTTTCGAGCATTACCAATTTAAGTGAAGAATGTAAACTTGGTGATATAATTTTTAATTTTAGGGTTTAATAACTATTGATTTTTTTTGATAATCGGGATATCTAGATCCATGTATGGGTATCTCAATTAATTTTTAAGATATATTGAACATCCTACAAATTTAAAAACTAGATAAGTCATAATGTTATTGTGATAGACGACTCCAAGTTTTAAATCTAAAAATTAAAAAAAAAGAACAAACCTCGTTGATCACACGATCCACCTATGGGTTTAAATTTAGTACATTGGTTGACTAACTTGAGTACATTTTTGTCTCTAATGTTACTATCATTTGCAAGCTGAATTTAGGTCTCAAAAATGCAATTTTTTAAACAATATCAAGAAATGAAGGCCCTAAAATTAATAAACTAATAAAACAGAAAATATACCGACATCCACTACAAAGTTTATTGGAGTCTGGAGAACTAATTAAGTTGAAAAAAATAAAAAATTGTAAAGGTTGGGCATGGTCCAAGGTTCAATCTTCATCGCCATCACCGCCAGCAGCCTTCTTGGCGACTGTCTTTTGGTTCTTTCGCTTCACTCTTCCAGGACGGCCAGTTCCCCCGAAGGGACTTGTGAGAGAAAATTGAATATGCTTTTGGGAGTCCATTCTCACCATGAACGATGGAATGTTCACCACCTGCCTCCCCACCCTGCCAAATACAAAACCAAATAAATTTTGAAACAAAATTCATTCATTCAAAGACAATTCTCAACAGATTTTACACCTGATATGCCTCTGCTTGATGAGGACACGCGCATGGTGAATCGACTTAGCCATGCTGTTCTTGTAGACGATGGTTTGAAGGCGACGCTCGAGGAAGTTCTCAACGGTGAGGGCCAAGACATAATCGAGCTTGTTCTGGCTCTCGTCCAAGAGCCCATACCGGTTCATTCTCCGGAGAAGAGCATGACCTTCGAAAATCCGGCGAGGGTTTTTCTCATCCAAAGTGAGAAGGTGCCTTGCAGCATTGCGAATGCGGCTCAATGAGTATTGAACCCTCAGCAACTCCCTCTTGCACCGGAGCCCGTACNAAAAAAAAAAACACATCGTACGTATCAGCCACATGCATGAGAATAATACAAAAACTCAATAACTGTGCATGCTCCATAATCTAATATATAAAAATTCTTCAAGATTCAAGATAGATTTTTTAAATGTTTAACGTGTAACTTGATAATTATATTTTTAAAGAATTATTAAGTAATATTTATTGACATCAATGAGTGCCTCTTAATATGAATATAATATATTGTATCATTCAAGGATACATCACTTTGGTATACACAATTTAGATATCCAGTATAATTTATTTAGAAATGATCTGAAAACAAGATCCAATCTAACCTAAATGTGAGGGATTTGTATATTGAAAATTGGAAGATAAATCAATAGAATAACATTCAAATACACGTTACCAATCAAAACTGATAATTTCTCTGATTTTTTCGAGCTGTGCTTATATATATATAGTAAAACCTCTCTATAGTGATATTTTATATAGGAATAAACTATACATAATCATAAAAAATTCTAGTCCCAATTTGAGATAGTTATAAATAAGAATAAACTCCACATTGTAATAAGTTATAATTTTTCTAATTCCGATCTTAAGGAAAGTTGTCTCCACATAGTAATAATTATTTGTATATTATCAAAAAATATATGTTATGTTATATTAAAGGTTTGAGATGAAATAAAATATTTATCTAAAGTTGTTTGGGACAATGATTTATATTTTAGAGCTGTTACCACATTTTTCACATTTCTAGTATGTAATAACTTGCTAGCATGAATACCTTCTTGTTGAAGCCAAAATATTTTTAGCTTCTCAAACATGTTTAGAGTTTCATGGCACGAAATTTTTTGTATTTCCGTACTATCATCTTTAGGATTATTTCTTTTATCTTCTTGTCTAATTGTAGCAATGATTTCTTCTTCGATTAAAGCATAGACGAGTTGTTGCTCATTTGGATAATCGAAGAAGACATTAATATCCATTCAATTAGTATAGTAAAATTGTTAAATTTGATTACTCAATTTTGCAATGATTTTTTTATTTTTTTCATCCACTTTATTTATAACTTGCAATTCATCGAAATCGGAGGTCCTAATTTTGCAATGCTTAAAACCATTGGCAATTGTCAGTGACTTCACATAAATTAACTATGCATCAACTGCATTTATAGTTCTATCAATAACACTTATTTTTGCTAATTCCAAGACACAGTCTTATATCTATTTCAAAAGTAAGTAATTGAAATGCTGAATTAAAATCCTAATACTACTAAAATATGAATTTAAATTCTTATACTGAACTACTAAAACATGAGTTAAAAAATAAGAAATCAAAACTATAATTTTTGTAACTATACCTCTATTAAATTATAACCTCATTATAGTAATAAAATTAGTTAGTCTCACCATTATGACTATAGAAAAGTTTTACCATATATATAGTCTCACCATTATGACTATAGAGAAGTTTGACTTATGTATATATATATATTATATGGGAATGGAATTGAAGCCTTTTGTTGTTGTAGAAGCCAGGTTTTATATGTGAAGTTAGGGCTTTTTGGTATTGTGTAAATTTATGTTAAGTTAAAAGAAATAGTAAAAAGGTTAATAAAGACAATTAGCTCATACCAAATTACACAGGAGGCGTGTAACTGTAACGCCGGCGGTTTTCGATAACACTTTATTTTCCACGGTGGCCAGACTAAATTTTCAAAGAAACAAGGAGGAAAAGAAGGTGAAAATGCGGCGAATTTGCTTAGAGTTTGTAGAAGGAAAATTTCCAAGCTGGAAGGATACATCTACGCGGTCAAAATTTAGCCACATAATTAATTAATTTACCCTTATACAGTTTAATTCCAAATAAAATTAAAGCGTTGCTTAATATTATTGGACTATGTATTTAAATAATAAGATTGTTATTAAATGGACGTGAATATAGAGTAGTAGATAATATAATATAAGACAATTTGAAATGGGGAAGGATTTAGAAGATTGCTTGTTGAATTGGGTTTCAGCCTTTAGTCAGCAGATATTTTATCTTTAAACCCTTGACGTGTACATTTGGTTAACATTATAAAAAACCTTTTTTTCTATTTAGAAAGAGTTTAAATAAGGGCGCATACGCGGGAAGGGAGCCCGTACTTCCAGGAGGGAGACTAGCCTCATTAATTACTTCCCCACTGGGCAAGAGGTGCACCCAACCCACCTACCCACCCACCCATCAATAACGGTGTTCAGCTGACTTGCGCTGATAGGCCCCTATTGTCATTGTATGTCTCCGTAGAAATCTAATTTCAAATCTGATTAGGGTTTGTTTAGTTCATTGTTATGATAATTTTTAAAATAATATTTAAAAAAATAAATTAGATGGATATTATAATATAAAATTAAAAATTAATAAAAATATCATCTATGTTTATTTATTTATTAAATATTCTTATAATAAAATATTAAAAGTTAACAAAAATATCTTTAACCTATCCATTAAATACAGACAATTGGCCACCACCGTTGGAGGGTGGCCAAAGTATTTTTATAATTTCTAAAAAAAATATTTAAAAGTATTTAGCTAAATTAACAAATTTAAGAGGTTTAAAAGAAATTAAAAAATATAGAATAATATTTTAGAAATAATGACATTTTGATGTTTAACTTTTTTTTGGAAATACTAACCCAAAAGCGAAACAAACAAAGCCATATGTGTGAATGGGAGACAAAAAAAAAAAATTGTTCAGTATTTATAAGCTATACACCAAAACCAAGTAATTAAATATGTGCGAATGGGAGACAAAAAAGTTCAGATACTTAATGAGCCATGCACCAAAACGTAAGCCACTTTTTCAAAAGAATGGTTCAAAGAAATTTGAAGGAACAGTATCAAAATCATTAGTATGATTAAAGACAGACTCAGAAAACTGGTATTTAGATCTTGATGTTTACCTTTCACGGGGTATTTTATTAAAAGATTATGCAAAGTTTAAATTTAATTAAAAGACCATGAAATTTTAAAATATTAATTAAATAGTTTTATTATTGATTAAGAGTAATTAAACATGATTACTTTATGAGATTCCCTTTTTGGTCTCATCATACACTTGTTATGAATGCTTTGTTGTTTTCAATTTTTTATGTTGATAGTTGGATATCTTTTTGTTTGAAGTTTTGAATAGATTATAGTAAGGATGCTTCTAGTTACTTAATTGTTGCTTTTATTGTGCTACTAAATTCATTCAATATTGAGATGTTATTGTGCATATAAATTCATTCAATATTAAGATGTTATTAATACTAAATCGCTTAAGCGAGCGATGACATCACTGACATCACTTAAGCTAATTTTTATGAATTTGAGAAGGAAATGTCAAGTACAAATAAAATTGGCCTTGGTTGCTTAAGCGATGTCAGCTATCGCTTAAGCGATCACGGCTTATCTGTACAGGATCGCTTAAGCGATCTTGAATTTGAGAAGAATAGACAAGTATGAAAAAAATTGGCCTTGGTCGCTTAAGCGACATTGACTATCGCTTAAGCGATCACGGCTTATCTGTATAGGATCGCTTAAGAAAGAACTGACATCGCTTAAGCGATCTTGAATTTGAGAAAGAAAGGTAAAATACAAAGAAAATTGGCCTTCATCGCTTAAGCGACGTAGGCTATCGCTTAAGCGATCACGACTTATTTGTAAGATCGCTTAAGCGAGAGCTGACATCGCTTAAGCAATCAAAGGTAATTTGCTTTTGTACTTAGAATAATCCTTCTCAAATACACAATCGCTTAAGCGATGTCAACTCTCACTTAAGTGATATAGTATAGATAAGTCGTGATCGCTTAAGCAATAGCCTACGTCGCTTAAGCGACCAAGGTTAATTTGCTTCTTTTCTCCTAAATCTTTTGATATTGTGAACATTTGAGTGAGAAATTATATTCCGTAATGTTTATTTAATATTTAGTCATTTTTTATTAATTATTAATTATTTTTTTCATTTCAATAGAATGTAAAAAGAACACTTTGGTCTTTGTCAATTAGCACCGTACATAAAACCGAAAGATATATTGTTATTCTATTATTTTTGTTAGTTCTTGGCAAGAAAGTAATATATGAAAAATATAATATTGATATAAAATTGAACTCTGCAACTATCTGCTCTGCACTCTGTAGACCAAGGCGAAATAGAAGGGATCGCTTAAGCGATTAAGGGTAATTTACTTCAATATTTCTTTTCTATGTTTATGGACATATGTTTAATATAGACGTAAAAGAACTAATTTAATTAAAATATAATAACGGTCATGGTCCACTGAACGAATAAAAAACCAAATATGTTTAATATAGCATAAACATTTTACACCATATATGTTTAATATAGCCGTAAAAGAACTAATTTAATTAAAATATAATAACCGTCATGGTCCACTGAACGAATCGTACACCTTATATGTTTAAGATAACGTTAATCGCTTAACCGATCTGGTGAAATACAATAAAAATAATCTGAATATATTGGATCGCTTAAGAGGTTTCATTTCTCGCTTAAGCGATCATATGTATTTAGACTTAATCGCTTAAGAGATCTGGTTGTATTTATGTTATCGCTTAAGCAATTCTACGCTTTTATACTTAGTTGCTTAAGCGATCACGAACAAGACATAATCAATAAGTGCCTAGACGTATGATCGCTTAAGCGATCATGTCCAAGGCAGAATAAACTTCTACCCAGATGCACGATCGTTTAAGCGATTAAGTGTATCGCTTAAGCGATTCTTCGCTTTTACTATTGGTCGCTTAAGCGATCACGAACAAGACAATAAATAAGTGCCCAGACGCACGATCGCTTAAGCGATTTATTATATCGCTTAAGCGATCATTTGCTTTTAACGTTTGTTGTTTAAGCAATCATGTCCGAGGCAGAATCAACTTCTGCCCAGATGCACCAGGTGGAGCATACTCAGCAGCAGGTGGAGTTTGAAACAACAGTTGAACCAGATAGTGTCCACAAGACAGAAAGTGATTCTGAGGTGACTAATGTGGA